ATAATAAAGTTATTGCTTTAGATAAAACATAATAATAATTAAATATTACACACAGTAATACATGCAATTGTTAAAAATGTAAATTACATACATACATACATACAAAGATACAAATACTATATTGTCTTCTTAGTGTTAAGGACTGAAAATAGTAATAAAAGTAATCAACTACAGCGACATAATTCTGCCTTAACTAATATCGTAATAGAATAGCAGATGAAATCCATTGTGGACCCTTCTATCACTATAATTTCTTTAGTTAGTTAGTTAGTTAGTTAGTTAGTTAGTTAGTTAGTTAGTTAGTTAGTTAGTTAGTTAGTTAGTTAGTTAGTTAGTTAGTTAGTTGTAGTTAGTTAGTTAGTTAGTTAGTTAGTTAGTTAGTTAGTTAGTTAGTCAGTTAGTTAGTTAGTTAGTTAGTTAGTTAGTTAGTTAGTTAGTTAGTTAGTTAGTTAGTTAGTTAGGTAGTTAGTTAGTTAGTTAGTTTTAGTTAGTTAGTTCGTTAGTTAGTTTTTCGTTCGTTTCGTTCGTTCGTTCGTTCGTTCGTTCGTTTCGTTCGTTCGTTTCGTTCGTTCGTTCGTTCGTTCGTTCGTTCGTTTCGTTCGTTCGTTCTTCGTTCGTTCGTTCGTTTCGTTCGTTCGTTCGTTCGTTCGTTCGTTCGTTTCGTTCGTTCTTGTTCGTTCGTTCGTTCGTTCGTTCGTTCGTTCGTTCGTTCGTTCGTTCGTTCGTTCGTTCGTTCGTTCGTTCGTTCGTTCGTTCGTTCTCGTTCGTTCGTTCGTTCGTTCGTTCGTTCGTTCGTTCGTTTCGTTCGTTTCGTTCGTTCGTTTTCGTTCGTTCGTTCGTTCGTTCGTTCGTTCGTTCGTTTCGTTCGTTCGTTCGTTCGTTCGTTCGTTCGTTCGTTTCGTTCGTTCGTTCGTTTGTTCGTTCGTTCGTTCGTTCGTTCGTTCGTTCGTTCGTTCGTTCGTTCGTTCGTTCGTTCGTTCGTTCGTTCGTTCGTTCGTTCGTTCGTTCGTTCTTTCGTTCGTTCGTTCGTTTCGTTCGTTCGTTCGTTCGTTCGTTCGTTCGTTCGTTCGTTCGTTCGTTTCGTTCGTTCGTTTCGTTCGTTGTTCGTTCGTTCGTTCGTTCGTTCGTTCGTTCGTTTCGTTCGTTCGTTCGTTCGTTCGTTGTTCGTTCGTTCGTTCGTTCGTTCGTTCGTTCGTTGTTCGTTCTTTCGTTCGTTCGTTCGTTCGTTCGTTCGTTCGTTCGTTCGTTCGTTCGTTCGTTCGTTCGTTCGTTCGTTCGTTCGTTCGTTCGTTCGTTCGTTCGTTCGTTTCGTTCGTTCGTTCGTTCGTTCGTTCGTTCGTTCGTTCGTTCGTTCTCGTTCGTTCGTTCGTTCGTTCGTTCGTTCGTTCGTTTTCGTTCGTTCGTTCGTTCGTTCGTTCGTTCGTTCGTTCGTTCGTTTTCGTTCGTTCGTTCGTTCGTTGTTCGTTCGTTCGTTCGTTCGTTCGTTCGTTCGTTCGTTCGTTCGTTCGTTCGTTCGTTCGTTCGTTCGTTCGTTCGTTCGTTCGTTCGTTCGTTCGTTCGTTCGTTCGTTCGTCTTTTCGTTGTTTCGTTCGTTCGTTCGTTCGTTCGTTCGTTCTTTCGTTCGTTCGTTCGTTCGTTCGTTCGTTCGTTCGTTTCGTTCGTTCGTTCGTTCGTTCGTTCGTTCGTTGTTCGTTCGTTCGTTCGTTCGTTCGTTCGTTCGTTCGTTCGTTCGTTCGTTCGTTCTTCGTTCGTTCGTTCGTTCGTTCTTCGTTCGTTCGTTCGTTCGTTCGTTCGTTCGTTCGTTCGTTCGTTCGTTCGTTCGTTCGTTCGTTCGTTCGTTCGTTTCGTTCGTTCGTTCGTTCGTTCGTTCGTTCGTCGTTCGTTCGTTTTCGTTCGTTCGTTCGTTCGTTCGTTCGTTCGTTCGTTCGTTCGTTCGTTCGTTCGTTCGTTCGTTCGTTCGTTCGTTCGTTCGTTCGTTCGTTCGTTCGTTCGTTCGTTCGTTCGTTCGTTCGTTCTTCGTTTCGTTCGTTCGTTCGTTCGTTCGTTTCGTTCGTTCGTTCGTTCGTTCGTTCGTTCGTTCGTTCGTTCGTTCGTTCGTTCGTTCGTTTCGTTCGTTCGTTCGTTCGTTCGTTCGTTCGTTCGTTCGTTCGTTCGTTCGTTTTCGTTCGTTCGTTCGTTCGTTCGTCCGTTCGTTCGTTAGCCTTCTTCCCGCCTCTTCCCTCCTTCCTTCCCTGCCCGCTCTTTTTCCTCGTTCGCTTCCTCCTTCTGCTCTCTTTTGCCCCACTTTGTTCTTCTATTTTTCTCCCCCCCTTTGCCCTCACCGGCTCCCTCTTCCCCTACCTCCTTCCTTCTACCCCCTGCCCTCCAATTGTCTCCCATTTCCTACGCTTCATTTCCTACGGTCCTGTAACCAGTGCGCAAGTCGTAGTCCTTAATAACTCATAACAACATCACAAAAAGTAGTTTACAAAAATAAAATCACCCACAATTTTCATAAATAATAAAAAAAGGAACCAAAACGTTGCCAATAAAAAAGCAACAATGTTACAACTAAGCTTCCAGTGTAGGTGGTGCTTGCTTATGAGTCTGCGGTTTTTGTAATACAAGAAACTTCCAAGAACTGACAATGTAAACAAAACATGGGAGAACAAATGGAAAGTAAAACACTTGTTGATTTGTTTCGAGTGTCTTTATTTCCATTTTTATTTAATTTTTGCAACAAATTGTAAATTTTTCTTATATTGTTTTACTGCTGTTATTTCGAGGTAGTCAAAAAGAAAATAATAAAAACATATTTAAAACACAAGTCGAAAAGGATAATTACGAAAAGCTTGAGTGCAAACTAAAAGGAATATTTGGTGAAATGTTTATCATTCTATTCAATAGTTAATACTAATAAATAAGTTTAATTTCAAAATCTTTGTGTTCAACTGGTTTACGTGTAGCAAACCCCTTTTTAAAAGTTGATACTTCCAAATCCACCATGATTGTAGCTGATTTTGGGCTGACGCTCAAGGCCAGCAATAACAATACTTTCAATCCATGATTTCGAATCATAATTGGGGGCTTGTACGAAAGAGTTGGTCAATTTAGAGCCATAACATAAATGAATTTGCCTTAACGATAATCAAATGATTTCTTATCGTCTAAGTAAAGAGTGTCCTTAGCTTTATCATTACGGTCTAAGCAAACGATAAGAGTGTAAGGATCATTTTTCATAAGGGTAGCAGCACGGGGTATACGTTCTTTTATGACTACAATTGACCCGCCACGTTGATAAACAGGAATCTAGAGAGAAAAGTTATATTTATTATTATTATTTATTTTAAAGGATAAAGGCTTCTTTAGGGTTTTCCTTACTTTATATGCATCAACTTGAATAGTCACCTTGCCAACCTGATCCTGTAAATTATCCACATCATACCACAAATCACCAGTTTTCTTATCATCAATGGCTGGAAAATAGACATAAACTTTGCTATGACCTTGTTCCATAACAGGTCTAACCAATATGCGATCTTGCAACAACAATTGATTATCAATGGCAAACGCATCCTTATCTTTTGGATAATGAGCCAACATATGTCTAATAACAGGACTGCCACCAATTTCGTGTTCATAGAACATGGTATACCACAAAGGCAGGTACGAATGGCATCACATATAACTAAACGAGTCTTTTCGGTTCACGTCTATTGGTATCAATGTGAGCATGAAAACAAAAGAAGGGCAATAAAGAGCCAGTCTGATACCATCTTTCAAACAATTCAGCATCTGGATTTCCAAAGAAACCACCAACATCGGCACCACAATTTGAAAAACCAGCAACGGCTTCAGACAAACACAATTTAATGGAATGTTGCAAATGACCCCCAATTACCCTTGTTGTCACCAGGCCAAATGGCGACATAACGTTGAGAGCCAGCAAAATGAGCTCGGATCAGTATTAAAGGTCTGTGGTTGGGATCACGTTAATTAAACCTTCATAAGTACCCATGATATGCATGTGACCATATAAATTATGTACATCACGATGTTTCAAATCTCCATAGTGTATCAAATCCTTTGGCATAATCACCTCAGGACCATTGAATACCGAAGGTTCATTCATATCATTCCAAATCATTACATCAGAAGTAATGGTTTTAAAGTTTAACAACATGTATTGTTCAGCATAATAATCACACACATCCTTACGAAAGAAATCTGGATAATTTACAGAACCAGGCCAACACAACGCTCATAATCCTTGCCATCACTCCATTTGGTATAGTAACACTTTTCAGTAAAAATATTATGGAAGAAATAACCACTATCTCGTTTAATATGAGGATCAATAATAATCACCAAATGACGTCCTACATCGGTTAGATTCTTAATCATACTTAAGGGATCGGCAAATTTAAATTGATCCCAAGTAAAGTATTGTTGCAGTATGTTGGGAGCTTTAAAAGATAATAAAATGTAAAAATTTGTGTTTTTGCTGATGTTTGTCCTATACCCATTTTAAGGTATATGGGCTCAGAATCTTTTTCTCAGTCTGTATGTCTTTCTTTATCTGCGTGTCCAAGTAAACCTTTACGCCCGCTACATGATTGAAATCGGTCTATTTCACCTAGCCCCCATACAATTGTACCTCCAAATAGGGCTTTTGAGTTCATAAATATGTTAAGACCAAGCTTATATAAGTTTAAATGATACTGTCGATTTTCGTAATCAACGGACTTCATTTTTATATTTTGTACAAAGTACAAAATATAAAAATATATTAGAATAGAATGATAAACAAATCACAGTTGAGGAATAAAGTTTATTCAATAAACAAAAATGGAAAATTTAAATAATTTTTCAACCTTCAAAAGGTTGACTTTTGTCGGAGATTGGCCAATTGTAGACCGATCATTCAATATCAAATACTGATATTTTTAATAGAAGTATTCGATTTGAAAGAAATGTCAATGTAAACAAACAATTGGAAAGTAAAACACCTGTTGAATTGTGTAGAGTGTCTTTATTTATTTGAATTTAGCTACAAATTGTAAATTTCTCTTGTATTGAGATGATTTACTGGAGTTATTTCATGGTAATTAAAAAGAAAACATTACATACATATTTAAAATACAAATTGAAGAGTATAATTATAAAATAGTATCTGGCATACAGACAAAACAAAATGGAATTTTGAATAAAATTATAAACACGTTTTTTTAACCCTGTTGAAATAGTTAATAACTAAAATTTTTTGTTTGCCAATTTTTTTGGGGTGACAAACAAATTAGTTTAAGTAAATCTAATAATTAAGTTTAATTTCAAAATCTTTGTGTATAGCTACAGCTGGTTTACGTATAGCATAACCCTTTTCATAAGGTAATACTTCCAATTCTTGTGTTGCACCATCAACATTGATGGTGGCCGATTTGGGTTGACGCTCCAGACCAGCAATAACAATACGTTCAATCCATGATTTTGAATCATAATTGGGTGCTTGCACGAAATGGTTCGTCAATTTAGAACCATCGAATTTATAGTTAACATAAACGTATTTGCCTTGACGATAATCAAACGATTTCTCATCATCCAAGTAAAGAGTACCCTCAGCTTTACCATTACGATCTAAGCAAACGATAAGAGTGTAAGGATCGTTTTTCATGAGAGTAGCAGCACGGCGTATACGTTCTTTTTTGGGTACAATGGAACCGCCACGTTGGTAAACGGGAATCTAGAGGAAAACATAATAAAATTATTACTTTTAGTTTTGAATTTTTCTAAGTTTTCCTTACCTTGTACTCATCAACTTGAATAGTCTCCTTGCCAACCTTGTCATGTTTTTGTAAATTATCCACATCATACCACAAATCACCAGTTTTCTTATCATCAATGGCTGGGAAATAGACTTCAACTTTGCTAACACCTTGTTCCATAACAGGTCTAACCAATATGCGATCTTGCAACAACAATTGATTATCAATGGCAAACGCATCCTTATCTTTTGGATAATGAGCCAACATAGGTCTAATAACAGGACTGCCATCAATTTCATGTTCATAGAACATGGTATACCACAAAGGTAAGTACGAATATCTCTTACGTATGGCATCACGTATAACCAAACGAGTCTTTTCGGGATATAGCCAAGGTTCGCGTCTCTTGGTATCAATGTGAGCATGAGAACGGAAGAAGGGTAAGAAAGCGCCAGTCTGATACCATCTTTCAAACAATTCAGCATCAGGATTGCCAAAGAAACCACCAACATCGGCACCACAATTTGAAAAACCAGCAACAGCTTCTGACAAACACATTTTGATGGAATGCTGCAAATGACCCCAATCGGCCATGTTATCACCAGTCCAAACGGTAGCATAACGTTGAGAACCAGCAAAATGAGCTCTGGTCAAAATAAAAGGTCTCTGGTTGGGATCACGTTTAATCAAACCTTCGTAAGTACCCATAATATGCATATGACCATATAAATTGTGTACATCACGATGTTCCCAGTCACCGTGATGAATCAAATCCTTAGGCATAGTCACCTCTGGACCATTGAATACCGAAGGTTCGTTCATATCATTCCAAAACATGACATCGGAGGTGACAGTCTTAAAGTTTGACAACATGTATTGTTCAGCATAATAATCACGCACATCCTTACGGAAGAAATCTGGATAACTTACAGAGCCAGGCCAGCACCAACCTTCATAATCCTTGCCATCACGCAATTTAGTATAGTAACCCTTTTCGGTACAATCGTTATGGAAGAAATAACCACTATCACGCTTAATATGAGGATCAATAATAATCACCAAATGACGTCCCACATCGGTTAGATTCTTAATCATACTTAAAGGATCGGCAAATTTAAATTGATCCCAAGTAAAGTACTTCTTGCCATCGGTATATTCAATATCTAACCACATTATATCCATGGGAATATCATATTCATCGAATTTAGTGGATACAGTTTCTACATCTTTAGCATCATTATAATTCCAGCGACATTGATGGTAAGCTAAAGTATAGAGCTGTGGTAAATTGGCGGTACCGGTTAGGGAAGTGTATTGTTTGAATGTATCGATAGGGGTGGGACCCATTAAAATGAAGGCGTCAATAATACCAGACTCAGACATGAAATGAGCGGCTGGGGGATCAACTTTACGAGAACCCGATACAAACTTGACAATAGATGAGACAACATTTGTTTCGGCGGTGTAAATATCTACCCAGGTTTCAGCAGCATTTTGCCAGTAAACACCAGCGGTACGTTGAGCGCTTAAATACAGGGAAAATTTAATTTAAAATCTTAAAAATTTCAGTTTTAAATAAAACTCGGAAATATTGAAAGTTCAAAATTATCATTATTAAAAAAAATAATAATAAAAATAAAATCCGATATTTTAATAAAATTTTAGATTTTTAAACAGCTTATAAATATAACACTTACCCGTGACCATATAATACTGGAACTGAACCATACAAAGCCATTTTACTGTCAATAAGATATTCAAAAACATCCAAATTATATAGACGATAGGGATCTGTACCGGAAGTCGATTTCAAAACAAAACTATCCGCATGTTCTGGTATACCAAAGAGAACCTCAGCTTCAGGGAAAGAGAAATCTAAAGCAACAGCTTCGGGACCATAGGGTTTCGAATCATGATGAGATTTAAAGTTTTCCTCCCAAGCGCCAGGATCGCTGTCTTCTGGTGTATTTACAACTTGATTTTCTTTATTTTCACCCTCACCCTCTTGACCTTCTTCTTGATTTGTTTGAGGTTTATTGCGTAAATGTTCGAAATTCATTAGGCCACGGGCATTGGCGGAAACAACTAAAACACTATTTTCATAGAAATCAACACGGAAGGGATCGGCTGCAATGACAGCTTTATTGTTGCCAGAAGCTAAAACTATTTCGGATTTATCTTCCTTCTCTACAGTAAGACTGAAAGGACAAATATTTCAAGACATAAAATAAATAAAGCAAATAAAATAAACTTACGTATCTGGCTGAGGTTCACCTATCAATACATGTTCCACTTTGTATCTGGGCTTCAAAGGTGTTTTTTCATCGATTAATATGCGGAATCTATTATTCTGTTCAAATGAAAAGGGAATACCTATGTTTTCATTAAATTCTTAAAACAATTTATAAAATTTACTGACCACTAAAGCCTCCAATTTGAAAACAAATAAATGTTGGGTATCTTTATTTATCAAATCAGCTGTTATAGCATTTGAATAGGTGTTCATAGAGCCCGGCACCAAAGCAAATTTCGAATTTCCCGGTTGTACTTTGCGGCAACGTCTTTAAAAGGGAAAATTTTTAGTTTTTCCTAATTTTAAAATTTTTTAAATATTTTTTTGCACTCACCTGCAGAAACTGCTTTGTTCACATGTTTTGAAATTTGTTGGATCTACTCCAAAACCATAATGAAATATGCAAAATATTAATAAAAATATTGCCAAACGCATTGTCAAACAAATATCAATTAAGCTTTTGCGTCACTGTGAAAAAATAAAATGTAAAATTAAATTTATATTTAAAATAAGATGAATAACAAATCATAGGTATTTAGAAATAAACAAAAAAATTTAGGAGGAATTTTTTATAAAGAAATGCGTTTTTGAGCTACATCTACAATGAATAACTCGAATTCGTGTTATATTAAATCTCGATAGCAACTTTCTAAAAAAAAAATATTAAAGCTTGATTGATTAAATGTTTCCCATGAAAAAGAAAAATACTATAAACAAATACAAGACAGGTCCAAACAAAATTTTAAAAAGTATAATATTAATGTACCCGCAAAACTGTATTTGAATTAGGCTATATTTTGAATATGAGCCTTTGGTATAGGTATAAGGAGAGACGGACCTACCTAACCTACCACTTTACAGATGTAGAATAAAACAAGTATAAATTTTCAATATTTATCATTAAAATTTCCCTCTAACCTTTATCAGAAATTTTCAAGTACATAATTGAAATTAATCAAAATTACATTAACAAATCGCTAAGAGTGAAGGGGAAAACTTTTGCAAAAAACAAGTAAGAATGTGTAGCGGACATGGCCGACTATATGATTTCCTATATCAATGGTTATCTTAAAAATAGTAACTATTTTTCATAATAAAGTATTCATTTTATCTTTATTCTTAATTCTGAATCATTTTAATAATTATTTTGACAAAAAAAAGTGATTTTCTGTAAGGGTGTTATTAGGGGGGGAGTATTTTTATTGGTAGAGGGATTTACGCTTACATAAGTTATTTATACAGAATTTTTGACTAATTATGAGATCCATAGTCTTATTTAGGTTGTTGTGGGTTATTTAGCTACATTTTTGTGCGTTACAAACGTCATCATAAACACAAAATACTCTCACCACAATAGTCGTGTAGGGTGTAAAAACAAATTGTAAATAGCTTTGTACACGTCATTCTGTCGTGCAAACTGCTACAACATAATTTTTGTACAATTCTAAACCTATGCAACAAATTAATATTTTCAAGCAAACTTTAATTCGCAATTTCCTAAAAACATAAACAATTTGTTTTTAATTAGAATATAAAATTGCACCCTCAAATATTCTTTAAAAAATGTTCCGATGTTTTTTACAACAGCAACACAAAAATTAGCCATGATTTGGCAAGTTAAAAAACACAACTTTCCTTAATTAAGTTTTTAATTGTAAACACAAGAACTTACACTATTTGTTGTTCAATAAATCGTAATGGTATATTAAAAATTTTGAACTATATTATTTAATGTATTTTAAAATAGTTTTGCAAAAATATTATGTTGATAAAGAAAATTCTACCGGCTTCTCCTGAACTTACCAGAGCCCTACGCCGACAAATATTAACAACGGCGGAGACTGACATTAAAAATGTCGGCGGCGGCTTAAAATCGACTTTAAGCCGACTAAGTTTTCAAAATTTTCAACGATTTCAAATAAAAACCGAATCCGAGAGATCAAAAAGTGGGATTTTGGAAGGAAATATATTGTTTATAACAACAAAACTGAGCAATCACAAAAGTTGTGTGAGAAATTATGCAGGGGTGGATAAAAAATAAGTGTCAAGACTTCAAGGAGGGATTGGGATTTTTTATTTTGAAATATTACTATTACATCCAATTTATTGATTTTTTCAAAACTTTTACAATACAAACAGATTTTAACATACAGATATGTACGTATAAACATTTGTTTAATATTTAATCATATTATTAACTGGAAAAGAACGTCTTAAACCCATACATTTCTCGCGATCAATAAATAGAGCATTGACTTTATTGCGCAAATCAACCTCCAAATTAGAACGAGTTTTCAACAGGCTCTGATGTTGAGCCTCAGCTTCTTGCAATTTATGGTGTAAATTATTCACAACATTTTTCAGGTCGTCCACTTCTTGCACCAACCGTAATTGAGCATAATCCCTTAGAAAAGAAAAATAATTAGCATTTCATAGAAAAGTATAGAATTTTATTTAATTAACTTACTTGCATAACTCTACACCTTCACGATGGCTACGAGCCTCCAAACGCGTTTGAGCCACTTTAAGAGGATTCGATTTATCCTGTATGGCTTTTTGAAGTAAAAATATATGCTTTTCTAAATCGAACAACTCCTGTTGTACTTTATGTAAATGTAATTGTATTTTATTTTTCGATTCGGCCATTTCTTGAGATCTGCGATCAAAACTATTATTTGTATTGCTCCAATGATCCCACATAGAAGTGGCAATTGCATTAACGGTAGTCTCGGCATCACTTCGCAGCTGAGAAAGTTTAGAACGCTCTGCCTGAGATCTTTAAGTTTGGAAAATATATTAATGATACATAGCAAGCATTTTTAATTGGAAGTGTACCTGCTGACACGTTGACTACTGGCCTCCGCCCAAGTCTCTTGAGTACTTACAGATGGATCATATTTCTCAATACCGCCATAATAAGCAATACCTCTGCTATAATTATTTAATTGATGACACACAGAATCAATCCCCAAGGTTGACTCTTTGAATGAGACATCTTCTTCCAATAAATGTTGAGCTGCCCGACAATCATTGGCTTGTTTGGTAATCTTATTAAAAGTTAAAATGTAACATTCTTTTGTAGATAAAATATGTACATATTTATTTTTATACAATACCTTGTCGTGCAATTCTTTAAGTTTTTCACGAGAATTTCGTAAATTATCAATTTCTAACAGCAAAGCTTTCTCCACACAATCATGAACCTTTTCGACTCCTGCGCGTCCCTCTCTATGATATAGACATTCTTGAGCAATGTGCAAAGGTGCTTCTATATCAAGCATAGCTTTGCCACATTTTCGTTTAAGTTCGGTAAAGGCCGAAGATTCCGACACTAATTTCTCCAATTCAGTGTTTAATTCATTGCGCCAAAAAGTTACATCTGTAATACGTTCACCCAAACGTCTACCAGCATCACGTTGCCCTTGAGCTGTCTTCTCATCAGTTTCACGCATCAAACGAACAGCATCATTACGTAAACGCTCTGATTGATTTCTGAAATTAAGAATAAATTTAGCTTTATTTAAAATCCCGAACATCGCCTGCCAACCTATTAATGTTCGATTCAGTATATTTCGATAAATTATTATTCATCCATTCTCCGGAAGTATAACGTGTATAAAGAGCGGCTCTGGCAGCATGTTGGGGATTACGTTGAAATCCTGTCACCAGATTAGGAAAAGTCATTGGTTCGGTTGTCATGCCTGTGGGGGCAAAACGTGGTTTCACCAGCTGATTTGTTACAGGTTGTTCAGCTAGATTTTTGACCTCAATCATTTCGTAACTAAGTGTAGGTCTCCATGGATGCGGATGAGAAGTCTATTTAATAAATAACATTTTTAATCGATATATTAAATTATTCAAAATTATAAATTCACACCTGGTAAGATGTTCCTACACGAGGCGGAACTGTGGGACCGGAAATTGGTTCCATACATGGTGGTGCCCCGGCCGTACTCCATGGCTGTAATTGAGAATACATAACAGTTTGTTCGAATTTTGCCATTGTTAAATTTTAACAAAAGATTTAAAATTATATTAAAAAATTAAAATTTTTAACAGTTTGAAAAATTATTTAATAAAGAAACTAAAAAAAAATTAATAAAAATTAATTATGTCAATCTACTTGAGTTTTATAAAAGTGAATTTTATGATAAAGTGTAAAAGGTGTGTATGATTTGAATTAAATGAATAATTGATGAATACATATGACTCCATTAAATTCCTATAATCCTTGCGTTCCACATATTGATCACCCTTGTCACAGGGCCAACGATCGATTAAATCATTTTTAACTAAACGATGATCAAACAAACGATTTTCTATATAAACATCTTTAAAATATTTCATTTTGTTTAAAAACTTATTTTAATATAAACTTTATAAAAATTCAAATTATATTTGAAATGATTTTTTTTTTATTTTGTTCCTTCTTCCCAATATAAGAACTCACTATTGGTACACTTGATTTTAATAATAAATCTTTTAATGTTTCTGTTTTAGGATACAATGTCGGATAACGTTGCTGAAGAAATTTATCCTCATTTTCCCAACAAAGCATTTAAATTTATTTTAAATGAAACGACAACAAAATATAACCTAACGTATCGGGGGTAAGTGTAAGACTATTTGTATTAAGGTATTTAGTAAACTACTTATTTCAAAATTCTAAACTGTTTTCCCATATGAATTTAAAAATATTGATTAAATGTCTATGAAATCATGGTAACGAATTGCTATTTATTTATATTTACTATGAATAAAATTATGTATGTTAGTGCATATTGAGAACAACAACAATAATTATGCGCAAGTTATTATTTGGTGACCTTCGCAACAGGAAATTTAATGTCTAGGAATTTGGGTCTTTTTCAAAATTACTTATATATCCAAAAAAAAAAGAATAATTTGTGAGAATTTCAAGAATTGAGTTTATTTAAAAATTTGTTCTATGACAAGCTCATGTACATTTTTAAATTATTTTCAAAATTTGTAACCGCGAAACTGGGAAATTTTGGACTTGAATAACAGAAACATTTTATTTACAATAAATCCGCAGTGGGGCAAAATATATGTATATATATATATTTTTTCTTTTTTGAAATTTGTATATCTGGTATTTTGGGATACAATTTGACATGGGCGCAGCACAGGAGTATTCAAGTTTAAGTTTTTAAAATAGACCCCACTAATCTCTAATAGAAAATATCTTTGTTTAAATGGGTAAATTTTGGATTCTAAATGAGATATTGACTTGAACTTTTTTTGTAAGATCAAAAATTAACTTAACAGAACAAAAATAATTAGTTTGGGATAAATATAAATTAAATTGTTCATTATATTTACAAATGTATTTAAATTTTTATACATATTTTAGTTTTATAAACTCAACATAGGTACTTACATAAATAAAATGTAATAAAATCTTTATTTATTAACGAAACTCAATGCAATTTTCATTTGGCCCAAAGTTTTTTATACCAAAATTTCTCCGTAAAGACATCTACCAAAAATTATGGGAAACCCCATACATTATGTCTTGAATATTATTTTAAATATGCATACATATAACTTCGGATTTTGAAAATTTTTAAAAAGCTTGATTTTCCTGTAATTATTTTAGCAGCTTTAAACATTTTTTGAGTATTGTCACTAGAGTTTTACCTATTTAAATGTGTATTTTTTCTTAATAGATGAATTTGTATTTTAAAATTGTAATTCATAAAAATATGTTCATAATTTCATCTAAAATAAGCGATTTGTAATTAATATGTATATTCTAGAGCTTATTTAATTCTAAAATTTCTACCAGTGTTGCTTTAAACATCATAAAAAATAAACAAACAAGCACTGCATTACCGGCATTAGTCAGCTGTTACCAAAATCTTAAACGTCAAATGTGAAAGTGGGAAATGTGAAAAAACAGAAAACATTTTATTTTATTTATATTGCAAAAATATTATTTCTTAAAAAAGTGTTTATAATTCCTAGTAATTGTGAAAATTGAACATCAAAAAACCTAAAACTCAAAATGAGTAATGATATAGACAACAATGCCACTGCCACCGGCCAAGAGGAAAATGAAGCAGTAATAGATCCAAAAGAATTGGAACGCCAAGAACGAGAAGAATTAAATGCCTTCCTAACAGAACTGAATGCTAAAATTTTAGCTAAATCTCATTTACGTTATGAAAATACTAATTTTGATTTACCCGAAGAATCATACTTTGCCAAATTGGATTCGAGTCTAAAAAGGAATACAGCTTTTGTTAAGAAATTGAAACAATTTACTGCCGCACAATTAGATCCCCTAATGAAAGATATGAAAGGTTTAAATTTAAGCAAATATATTTCGGAAATATGTTCAGCATTGTCGGAAGCTAAAATTAAAATGACAGATGTTCCGGCAGTCGTACTGCTGTGTTCTAAGTTGCATCAAACTTATGCTGATTTCGATAATGAATTCTTTGAAGCATGGCAAAAGACATTGTTGCTTAAACCGGGCGAAAAAATTTCAAACCCTAGTAAGCTACGCGTAGACTTGCGTCTATTTGCAGAACTTGTTAGTTCAGGTGTAATAACCAGTAAACAAGGCTTAAGTCTATTGGGCAACGTACTGACCAATGTAATTTCCCAGGACAAAGAAGATCACAGTAACTTCTCGATAATTTTATCATTTTGTCGCCACTGTGGTGAGGAATATGCGGGTTTAGTACCAAGGAAAATGATAAATTTAGCTGAAAAGTATGATAATCCAGAAATACCAAAGTCTGACTTTTTACCCTCCGATAAACAAGAGAATTTAAGAAAACTATTAAAGGACTATTTTAAGAATTTGTGTAAACATTTGCTTTCGGAACAAGCGGAACTGAAGAATATGACGAATAATCTTAAAAAAGCTATGGCTTCCAAAGGTAATTTTTATACATAAAAAAACTCATTTTTAAAAAAGAAATAATATATACAAAAGTTGAAGGGATAGTAGAGTTTGGCGTATTAGTTGAAGCTAAATAATAAAATTTTGAATATTCCTACTTAATACGTAATTTTAGCAAACAAATATTTAGATTTTTTTTAAATATTTACTTAAATTTACAAATTCTGTGCATTAATGGTAATGATCTGAATAGTTCTAGTTATACATAGTTCTTTTTCTACAATTTATGTATATCAACTTAAAAGTCTCCGAAATTTCTCTCATTTGATATACGTATTGCTTATTTTCTGTAGAATGACGTTTTAATTATACCGATTGAACCGATTTTGCTGGTTTTAGATAGTAAAATTCTTGAAAAGATGTCTACTGTAATATTCCGAATATTCTATTTATTAAAGAAACAGACTTTGATATCTATAAGGATTCTTTATAGGGTCGCAAAATTCCTAGGTATAAAAGTGTTTTACATAATCAATTAAATAGATTTGTTTCTCATATCATTAAGTGCTGATTTCCACTTTGCATATTTTTGTTTTAAACATTCCATTCTTAAATCATAACTAAACTGAAATAAAATGCCCCTAAATGGAAATTTATTTTATATTTCTTACAAAATCCAAGGAGAAATTTCTACAAAAACAAAAGAGAAATGTGAACTAATGCAAGCAAACTTTGATAAATTACTATCGTCGGCTCAAACTTTGTCGGATTTATTGGATGAACCCTTACCCGAATTGGCTATGGAAACAGAGATCTGTAATCCTGGTGCAGTTATTGAAAATATGATGGATGATGCAGCTCTTGGTGAGCTCGATCCATGGGGCGATGAAGAAACAAAAAGTTTCTACATCGATCTACCAGATCTTCGCCAATTTCTACCAAATTTTTCGGCACCCAAAGTGGATCCTGAACAAATAGAAGACACATCTGAAATGACCGAAGAGGCATTGGATGCTGATATAGACAATGATATCGATTTAGATGATCCACCCTCAACAACCTCAGATCCCCCAAATGAAAAGGATCAAGTGGATAATGATGATGTTTTGGGAGCAACTGAAAAGTTGCCGGATAAAATTGGCAATGCCTTGATGGAAGTGGGACGACAAAGTAATCAAACACCAGGTTCCAATAAACAGCAATTCGCTCAATTTTTAAAGAATTTAAATAATTGTGTTAATAAGGAACTAATCGATTCGGCTGCCATAGAATTTCTTTTGAATTATAATACCAAAAATAATCGTAAAAAGTTAACTAAGTCTATATTTGCAGTGCATAGGTTGGTATTATTGACAGAATTCAAAAATAAAATCCCTGGAATAAATGTTTTGATATATTTTTAGAAATCGCTTAGATCTCTTACCCTTCTTATCACGTTTTGTGGCCATTGTAAATCTGTGCAATACAGATGTTGCTTTGGATTTATCGGAATTACTGCGCAAAGAATTCAAATGGCACATACGCATGAAAAATCAACTGAATATTGAGTCTAAAATAAAAATTGTGCGTTTTATGGGTGAAATGGTTAAATTTGGCTTACTAAAGAAATTCGATGCTTTAAGCTGTTTAAAAGTTCTACTCAGAGATTTTCAACATCATCAAATTGAAATGGCTTGTGCTTTCATTGAGGTGGCCGGTATTTATTTGTACAACTGCAAAGATACCCGCTGGCTCATGAACACTTTTCTCGATCAAATGATGCGTTTGAAAACTGCTACTGCTCTAGACTCTAGGCATGCGGCTCAGGTGGAAAATGTGTTTTATTTGGTTAAACCGCCAGAGACGGTAAAACAGGATGTGGTATTAAGGCCTGTTATACATGAGTATATAAGGCATTTGATATTTGAAGAGCTAAATAAGCAGAATGTAGAGCGTTGCATTAAAATGTTAAGACGCATTAATTGGCATGATCCCACTATTAGTAACTATGTAATAAAATGTTTGTCAAAAGCTTATCTATTGCGTTTTCCACTTATACGCTGTCTGGCTGATCTACTATCGGGTTTGAGTTCATATCAAGAAAAAGCGGTTACCATGGTTATAGATAATGTGTTCGAGGATATACGAGCTGGTCTGGAGATACATTCACCCAAGTTGGCACAACGTCGTATAGCTATGGCCAAGTATTTGGGAGAACTTTATAACTACAAACTGGTAGAATCTACCAATATTTTAAATACTTTATACTCCATTATATCCTTGGGTGTTTCCACTGAGGAGGGAGTGATTTCGGAATTAGATCCTCCCGATAGTTTGTTTAGATTAAAGTTGGCTTGTGTGCTACTAGACACCTGTGGGCCTTATTTTACTAGTTCTGCCAGCAAGCAAAAGTAAGTATTGTGTTACGTATAATTTTATTCCTGCAGGTATAATTGTATTACTTTTTAGACTGGATTACTTTTTGGTGTTTTTTCAACATTACTATTGGTTTAAAAAATCAAATCCAATTTTTTCAAAAGTCCAAGATACCCATGACTTATTTCCTATATTAGTGGATCACATGTATCGTGATTGTTTATCTAATGTTAGGCCTAAATTAAAACTTTATAAAAATCTTGAACAGGCCAAGGAAGCCATTAAAAAGTTGCAGGATAAATTTTATCCACAACTAAAGGAATTAACAGAACAATTGAATACAGAAGATTCTTCCAATTTACATCCTATACCAGAGGACAGTGAATTTGATGAGGCAGTAAGTTAAAATTTTTATTCCGACGAAATGTTTATTAAATTACAATTTACTTTTAAAGGCTAGTGATGATTCATCCTCAGAATTAGACAGAAGACCTAGAGATGAACGGGGCGATGAAGAATTTAATGACGAAGATGATGAAAATACTGAAGATGGTACAAATCAAGCAAATACCACCGATTGGACTGAAAATGAAGGTATGCCCGAAGATGACTGCAAACCGGTGATAAGAACTAAAGAAGATTTAGAATTTGAGCAAATGTTTGAGAAAATGGCCCAAGATAGTTACCAGGAACGTTTAAAGGAAACTGTTAAACCTAATACAAAAGATATACCCGTACCCATGATGGTTAGAAATAATAAGAAATCATACGAACAAATATCCTCAGCTTCCGTAGTTGCCGCTACATCTCAAACCACTCCGCCGCCCAGCAATGAAGCTAAAACCTCGAATGCTGCTGCTATACCATTTGTGCTCATGGTACGTAGCGGTAAAGGTGGTAAACAGCAGTTCAAACAGTTTGCTGCACCTTCCGATTCTCAGTTGGCCATAAATTTAAAACTGCAAGAAGAAAAAATACGCGAAGAAAAGGAAAAGGTCAAACGTTTAACGCTCAACATAACCGATCGCATTGAAGAGGAAGACTATCAGGAGTCTTTAATGCAATCGCAACGTGGTAATCAACCCAATCTTTACGCTCGTCCCAATAAACCAAAATTCAAACATCAAAAAGGTGCCCCCGATGCTGATTTAATATTTCATTGACGTTTTGGCAATAGTTTGAACATAAAGTGAATGGACTCGAAATTATCGTTATCAAAACTTGTGTTACATTAATGTAATATTAGTAGGGCTCATAAATGCTTTCTAAAGGCAGAGTTTTCTTTTTACATAATGGTCAGTTTTGTTTTTTTTTTTTTAATCTTCTTAATTCCTGACAGTTGAGTTCTAAATTTTGACTTTTCTTGTTTAGATTGAGAACTAATATGGATCTTATGTATTCATTATTTAATCATTATCAAATGATATAAAAAAAATAAATGATTTTTTATTAAACAAAAACAATTTTTGGTTGAAATATGTTTAAATTTTAAACTTTAAAATTAGTTTTAGGTAAAGTTTTTAGTATAAAATTTTTCAAAAATTGCCATTGTTTCATGAATATTATAATTTTTTTTAAATTTCCGCTCAAAACTTACACTTAGTCAATTTCTGGGATCCAATTTCTATTTTAATTATATTTATTACCAATTCTATAATTCATGCTTGAATTTTATTTATTAAATTATCTATTATAGCTAGGATTTCGGAAAGTTGTTGTGGTTGGACTAGAAATTGGATAAAAATCTCCACCCTGCAAAAAAATATAATTAATAATTTAAAATCTGCTAATATCATATTTACCGGACACCATTCGGCCTCCATTCGTTCTTGTTCAAATTTAGCCACCAAAATGCTATCGTGTATGGCAGTAAAAATTTTCCACAAAAACAAAGTGCCCAAACCGACGAATATTATGGTGCCAGTAATTCCCAAACCCATTCTCAATATTAATACTTGAGGTGAACATTCAAGATGAAGCTCCGCGTACACTTCAACTATATCCTTGTCTTCACTGTACTTAAAAGTAAACTTGCAATCATTTTCATCATAAAATATGCAAATATTTTCTTCATTCTGATAGCCAATTTCGATCTTTGATGAACCTTTTGTAACAAATGTCGTACAATTAGCAATACAATCTGTAAGATTTCTGAGTGGACCGGTCTTAAACATTTGACATTGAACACAATCCTTTAACTCATGACAACGACTAGATTCACAAAATTGACCAGAAAAATAACTCTCTTTGGTTTTCTTGCATCTAAAGAAGAAATATGTACAATTTTTCAATATTATTTTTCAAATATGTAAATACTTACTTGCAAACACCACATTCGCATTCACCCTGTCCGGAACAAATTTTACCGTCATTAGGTGAAATACATGTTTCATTTGAAGCTTTGCAATCACAAGCATCACCAGTCCAACCAGGTTTACAAATACAACTACCACACTCACATACACCATGATCTGGTCCTGAACACAATTGCTGATCATGACGATCACATGAGAAGTTATCACATTCACAGTATTTTCCAGAAATAATTTCTGTCGGATTAAATCTTTTATCACATACACAAACATCACACAAACATATGCCACGTCCATTACATGCGATAGTTGTCATATTATTAGCACGACAACCAATATGTTTCTCATTCACATCAACCGAAGAACATTCACAATTGTGACCAATATATGAATCATCACATTCACAAGTACCACAAATTTGGGTTCCATGATTATTGCAGAGCGCAGAATTTTTTTGATAATCATCTGAATCTGGGTTTTCACAGGGACATGTACAAATCATTTCTAAATCGATTAGTAATGTTTCATTAATTCCTACAGGATATATTTCAATAACCTGATGCCATTCGTTAGGGTCAGTGGGACATGAAGTAACCAAAATTTGGGCAGTAAAATTAACAATATCACCGACCTTTAAGCCATCACATTTTGAAGTGGGTATTTCTGAGTCGCCATTCAAACACGACGAAAAATAGGTGATCCTAACATGGTTGGTGGCATTATCTCTCATTTCAATTGAAGAAGATATTTTCTACAATAATAGCATTAATATAAAAAGAGTTTAAAACTTTAATTGGATCAAAACTTACATTATATTCATCTCTAACCAAGTCGACAACATTTGAAGAATCATCTGACAACGTGGCCGTCGATGAACCTTCAATAGTTTTAGATAATTTCTTATAGATTGACTTTTGATTGGCTGTTACAGCAAATATTAAATTTATGGAATTTTCTATTACTATACGATTTATTTGGGCAATACTAGGATAGTCTTGCATTATTGAGTGTGTATAAAGTCCCTCTGAATCTAAATGGCATTGTTCATCATTGGGTTCAATTAACCCGGCAAGCTAAATTTATAAAATTAATTTTAAATTTAATTATGTATATAAATATTCAATTTACCTTGCCAGCGCCAGCGTAATGAAAACTGTCGTCAGTTGAAAATACTAGCAAACGACGAGATTGTTCACGCCAACCGATTTGTTCACGACAAACAATAGCTTGCACTATAGCATCAAAACCACCTTCAGGTGCATCCAAATTACCAGAGATAGGAGCATTTCTTACTTCAGTCTAGTTTTAGTCATATTTGAATATTTACATTTATTACAAAATTTTTTAAATTATGAATTCTTTTTAAAGTGTTTTTTTTTTACAAACTTACAATTTGCTTAAAATATTTACATTGCACATACATATGTTAAACGCATACATAGTAAATGTTTAGTACTTACTGAAAACCGACTTGTATCTGTGCTTAAAGACATCACATTCTTAAATCCATAAGGTGGTTCACAACCATCGCACGGTGATATCAATCTAAATATTTAAATAATTGTAATATAAAAATTATATTTATATACGTATGGCCGGTACACAAAAAATTGCACATTTTTTAATTAATATGAATTAAAAAATTTTAAATCCGATCAAATGGTTACTGTTCTAGTCTGGTAGACCGGGTTCGATAGAGGCCTAGGTGTATTTCTTCGGACCAACTAAGACCGACCAAACCCAATAGAAACATATAATTTTTTGTAATATATACGATTTTGCACAGTCCAATAACTATAAGCACTCTTGCTTGAGTAAGTTATTTAGTTATTAAATTTTTCTATTAGTAATTTTCTAGTTATTCCCTCCTAATAATTAGACTTTCTCTAGAGTAGCATTGATTCGGATACACCTGATATATGCACTTGCTTTACGATAATTTATACACCATATTTATTTAGATTTCTATGAATCATTGCTAATTGTTTTGCATTATAAATACGGTAACGAAGATAAATAATTATTTGTATACAAAAACACTGATAATCATACAACTTAAAATTAAAAATACATTAAAATGTGTACTTACTTCGTAGGCGCCGTCGAAGTAAAGGGCATTATGACTTTTTCATCAAATGAGCCAAATCCTAGGCGAAAGTTAGAGGTAATATTACGCATTGTATCCGACAGCAAATCGCCCAAAGCAGACAATTTTGCTTTGTCATCTTCCATAGATTTTGACAAATCCATTAGATAGTACAAATCAATCGGGTAATCCTTAGCTTGAGAAAAACGCAGAGGTAAACTATGAACTTCGTCTAGACCACAAATAGTTTATAATTAAAAATATTTTTTTACACTAATTAAACAGCTGTATGTATGTACTTATGCGTAATTTTAAAGAAACACGTTGAGGTCTGATTTGTACAATATCTTCAATTATTACTTCTCCAGATCTAGCATAACCTCCTAAAGTTAATTTTCGATTACTGGTAAAATTTTGTTTGGTAGTGGGATTCCAAATAAAGTCTTTTGCACAATAGCTTTTAAAATAAGATGGAAAACATCTTGATTTATTGCCGTTATCTGGTAGCAAACACCAGGCACAATTTTTTGTCTGAATACACTCATGACAAGTACGTTTATTTCGGCAAAGATTTTTCACATTGAGCACAGTGGCTCCGACCGAAAATAGAACACATAAACCAATGAATGCTAATACCATTGAAGTGTTTAGTTTATTAAAAGGAATCATATTTTTATGATACTTTGATTTTTTTATAATATATTATCGTTTGAATTGCTTGAGAACTTAAGACGGAATGATATTAATGCATATTAACTATGGCAAATAACAATTTTGCAATATTACAATATTGCACAATTACATGCATATGTTCTATTTTAAACATGATTATAGTGAATTACTCTCTCAATTGTAAAAAGTCACTCTCCATTAAGTATGGCGATTAAACGATATATTGTGTAAAATCTATTCATTTATAATTGGTTAGTATGAAAGGAGGTTCAGATCACTTAGTCCTCTATTGGGCCAATTGTGCGCTCCTTTAGCAATGTCTATGATGGGAATCGAACCCACGACCTTCGGTCTACCAGACTAGAACACTAACTTACCAGAGGTCACATAGAGGAACATTAAAATAAAGGTTTAACCACCCCTTTCTTTAAGATATCTTAACTTAACATTTGAAACCACTATAAATTCCAAAAACATTTATATTGCCTTTACTTTAACAATTCAATAAATAAATATTGATACTGGCAACATAGAATTAATAAATCATGTAGGATCTTGAGCGAAATAAGAAATTATATTTTAAATTATTTCTAATATACATATTTCTTAATTTAAGTACATATTTCAATGAAATCGATCGGGTATAAATACGTTAAGTTCATTTTACAATATCTGAGTTGAATGATTTACTTTTAACTTAAGTCCTACATAGTCTATAAATGCTCCTCAGACATTCCACAGCATTTTATAAATTAACTTTTATTTTCCGAATATGTAGGATTTTGGAAAGTTGTTGTGGCTGGCGTAAAAAGTGGATTTCCACCCTAAAAATAAAGATATGAAAGTTTGTGCATATACCTTATTATAAAACTTTAGGCATGAGTTTACTTACCGCATTCCATTGGGCCGCCATTCGTTCCTTTTCAAATTTAGCAAATTCACGTCTATCATGTATGGTAGTCAAAATTTTCCACAAAAACAAGGTGCCCAAACCAACCAACACCATGGTACCAATAATACCCAAAACTAATCCCAATATAAATACTTTTTGAGGACATTCAGGTTGAAGCTCAGCATGTACTTCAATTATATTATTGTGTTCGCTGTATTTAAAATTAAATTTACAATCATTTTCATCAAAAAATGTGCATAAACTTTCATCTTTTTCATCGTCAATTTCGATCTTTAATAGGCCTTTTGTTACAAAAGTTGTACAATTAGCGGTACAATCTGTGAGATTTTTCAACGGACCGGTCTTATACATTTGACATTGAACACAATCTTTTAACTCGTGACACCAACTAGATTCACAAAATTCACCCGTATATCGTCTTTCTTTGGTAGTTTTACATCTGAAAAGGACATTTTTACAATTTTGCAATATATGTATGTATGTTTAATTAATGAAATTTATTACATACTTGCAAACACCACATTCACATTCGCCCTGTCCTGAACAAATTTTATCATCATTAGGTGAAATACATGTTTCATTTGAAGTTTTACAATCACAAGCAGCACCACTCCAACCATGTTTACAAACACAACTACCACACTCACATATACCATGATCTGGTCCCGAACACAGTAGTTGATCACGACGATCGCATGAGAAATTATCACATTCACAGTAATTTCCAGAAATAACTTCCTCTGAATTGGATCGTTTGTCACATTCACAAACACCACACAAACAGTTACCACGACCATTGCAATCTATTGTCGTCACATTGTCAGGACGACAACCAAAATCTTTGCCACTTTCGGTATCAACCTCATCAGGAGAACATTCACAATTGCGACCAAAATACGAGTCATCACATTCACAAGCACCACAAATTTGAGTACCGTGATTATTACAGTGGGGCGAATTTTTTTGATAACCAACTGAACCAGGTTTTTCACAGGGACACGAACAGATCATTTCCAAATCGATTATTAAAGTCTCATTGATGCCAACAGGATATATTTCAATTACTTGTTTCCATTCGGCAGGATCAGTGGGACAAGATGTAACCAAAATTTGAGCTGTGAAATTTACCACGTCGCCAACTTTAAGGCCATCACATTTAGAAGTGGGTATTTCGGAGCCACCATTTAAACAGGATGAGTGATAGGTGATCTTAACATGGCTGGTAGCATTATCATTAATTTCAATTGAAGAAGATATTTTCTATAATAACATACATACATATGTCCATTCGTATACATATTAATTTCAATCTTTAATGGATTTGGATCGAAAACTTACATTATATTCGTCCCTAACCAAATCTACAACATTTGAAGAACCTTCCGATAAGACGGCAGTCGATGAACCTTCAATAGTTTTAGATAATTTCTTATAGATTGACTGTTGACTAGCTGTTATAGCAAATATTAAATTTATGGAATTTTCTTTCACTATACGATTGATTTGGGCAATACTAGGATAGTCTTGGATAAGAGAGTGCGTATAAAATCCATCTGAATCCAAATGACATTTTTCATCATTGGGTTCGGCAAGACCACCGAGCTAGTATACGAAATTAATAGAAAGTATACAAATAAATGGATTTTAAGTTAACATTTATTATAAGTCTAAAAGTTACCTTTCCATCACCTGCATAATGAAATCCGGCATCAGTTGAAAATACCAGCAAACGACGAGCCTGTTCACGCCAACCGATTTGTTCACGACAAACAATAGCTTGCATTATAGCATCAAAACCACCTTCAGGAGTATCCACATTAGCAGAAACTGGAGCATTTCTTACATCAGTCTATATTTAAAAAATTGTATTCATAATTTTTTTTAATATAAAACTTTTGTTTTATTGTTCTTACCGAAAACCGACTGGTATCTGTGCTCAAAGACATAACATTTTTAAATCCATAAGGTGCTGCACATTTAGAACAAGGTGATTTGATTCTAGATAATAGAAATACAAACATTATAATGTAAATATTCATCTCTATATGCTATACATAAAATGCAGCTATATCAGCTTAAATAACGCTTTAAACAGGCATAAAAAATTCTGTTTTTTTAAACATAGGTCTACAAAACGTGCGTCTGAGATTTATCAAATTAGTGAAAATCTGTGATCACTCCTATTTCCCACCCAAAATCGATTTTTGTATGAAAAACATAAAATCGGCTGTAGTTTCTTAAATAACGCTCCAATTGAGAAAATAGTGAAAATCTGTGATCACTCATATTTCCCACCCAAAATCGATTTTTGTATGAAAAACATAAAATCGGCTATAGTTTTTTAAATAACGCTCCAATTGAGAAAATAGTGAAAATCTGTGATCACTCATATTTCCCACTCAAAATCGATTTTTGTATAAAAAACGTAAAATCGCTATAGTTTCTTAAATAACGCTCCAATTGAGAAAACAGTGAAAATCTGTGATCACTTATATTTCCCACCCAAAATCGATTTTTGTATCAAAAACATAAAATCGGCTGTAGTTTCTTAAATAACGCTAAAATTGAGAAAATAGTAAAAATCTGTGATCACTCATATTTAACACCAAAAATCGATTTTTGTATGAGAAACATAAAATCGGCTGTTATTTCTTAAATAACGCTCTAATTGAGAAAATAATAAAAATCTGTGATCACTCATATTTCCCACCCAAAATCGATTTTTATATGAAAAACCTTAAATCGGCTGTAGTTTCTTAAATTACGCTCTAATTGAGAAAATAGTGAAAATCTGTGATCACTCATATTTCCCAACCAAAAATCGATTTTTATATGAATAAACTAAAATCGGCTGTAGTTTTTAAATAAAGCTCCAATTGAGAAAATATTGAAAATCTGTGATCACTCATATTTCCCAACAAAAATCGATTTTTATATGAAAAACATAAAATCGGCTATAGTTTCTTAAATAACGCTCCAATTGAGAAAATATTGAAAATCTGTGATCACTCATATTTCCCACTAAAAATTGATTTTTATATGAATAAACTAAAATCGGCTGTAGTTTCTTAAATAACGCTCTAATTGAGAAAATAGTGAAAATCTGTGATCACTCATATTTCTCACCAAAAATCGATTTTTGTATGAAAAACATAAAATCGGCTATAGTTTCTTAAATAAGGCTCCAATTGAGAAAATAGTGAAAATCTGTGATCACTCATATTTCCCAACACAAATCGATTATTATATAGAAAACATAAAATCGGCTGAAGTTTCTTAAATAACGCTCTAATTGAGAAAATAGTGAAAATCTGTGATCACTCATATTTCCCACTAAAAATTGGTTTTTATATGAATAAACTGAAATCGGCTGTAGTTTCTTAAATAACACTCCAATTGAGAAAATAGTGAAAATCTGTGATCACTCATATTTCCCACCAAAAATCGATTTTTGTATGAAAAACCTTAAATCGGCTGTAGTTTCTTAAATAACGCTCCAATTGAGAAAATAGTGAAAATCTGTGATCACTCATATTTCCCATCCAAAATCGATTTTTATATGAAAAACCTTAAATCGGCTGTAGTTTCTTAAATAACGCTCCAATTGAGAAAATAGTGAAAATCTGTGATCACTCATATTTCCCTCCAAAAATTGATTTTTATATAGAAAACCTAAAATCGGCTGCAGTTTCTTAAATAACGCTCCAATTGAGAAAATAGTGAAAATCTGTGATCACTCATATTTCCCACTCAAAATCGATTTTTGTATAAAAAACCTTAAATCGGCTGTAGTTTCTTAAATAACGCTCTAATGCACAGTGGGGCAGAATGGAAATTTTTTGGAAATAAATCTGGCATTTCTAAACGGCTGATCCGATCGGGATAAAATTTGGCGTGAGCGTAGCCAAGGAGTATTCGAATTTAAGTTTTAAAGATGAACCCTGCAGATGCCCCAGGGACGGCGCTGTGGCGGCTCAAAGTAGGGTACCTACGACATGTAAAATTTTTAAACTCGTGCCATTTTTTTGTTTTTCACCCAAATACAAAGATTTTTATATTTTGTGAAAGCGCTCGACGAGATCTTGAAAAAACATGCTTGGACATACTACTTATCTCTTATAATATCCGAGTTATAGGCATATAAAAATTTAGTGATACAAAATTTACCATACCTTGGTCCGCCTTTTTTTGAATACCGGGCGTAATTTTGGACCAAATGGACTCAATTTTTTCTTGTTCGTTAGACAACAAAATTTCCAATAATATACAAAAAATTTCAGATCAATATTGTTTACAGATCCAAAAATATACGTTTTTTAATTTAAAAATTCAAAAAATTTTAGATTTTTGGAATTTTTTGCCAAAAATGTGTCTTAACTCTTTTATTAATAAAATAAAATTTTTATTAAGAACATATAACAATTTTATAGTTTTCTAAAAGGTATCTTTACGCAGAACGCTTTGGCGTAAAAAACTTGTCCTATTTTTTGAAAATGTTGCCACTGCGTCCTTCCGAATATGACCTATTTTTTATCAAAACTTCAACTTTGGGCGACATGTTCTAAAATCCCAAAGCTGGGATCAGAAAACTGAAAGCAGTTTTGGAAACCTCAATATGTTTTCTATTTGCTCCAAAAGTATTTTCCCAGCCCTGAAAGAAATGTGGACCCTATGGGCAAAAAAGTAAAAAATCCCATTTTTGGGATTTTCATTCCTATTTTTGGGAATTGCGGGATGCCCTTTGACCTTTTCAATTTTTTTTTTGCATATTCTTATTTGAAATGACAAATTTAACAAGCGTTGAAAATTTCATTGAGTTTTGTTCATAAATAAAGATTTTGTCATATATTACATATTTGTTTAATTTCTAAAACTATGATTTATATCAAAATTTTAATAGGATCGCAGATAGCTACAACAATTTAGTCCATATTTATCCCTTAATATCATTTTTTAGTTAGATATGGAAATTCTCGACCCTTTACAAAAAATTTCAAGCCAATATCTCAATTACATTCAAAAATATGTTCATTTAAACCTGTGTCCTTTAATTTCATCTTTTTCATATTTTAGTATTAAGTATGACAGAACATACATTTGGTGTTGAATAAAATATTTGGACAATTTTTAAAAATTATTTAGTTAATTATTTTATTATAATATTGTATAAAATAAAAAAAATTATAATTTTATTATGAGCCACGCACAACAACACCTAAATCACCCCACACAAATTACCTTTCCCGCCCACCGAAATATAAAACACAATTTAATACAATATCATCAGTTAGTATAATAGCTTTTTTTATTTGAACTGTTTATCTTAAACATAATACAATTAATTCTTACAACCTACTTATATATTTAATTCCTAACACTACTTATTTTCTATAAAATAATCTGTCATATCGGTATACATATCCAGAAGGTAATATAAGTCCTTTAAATCTTCCTTGTTTTGAGATGATAGAGTTTCATAACAAATCCATCTTTTTCGCATAGTTGAAAGAACAGGATCAGAAGATAGAAGTAAACTATTAAAAATATCTTCATTCTGTGATTGCCTGGAGCATTTTCTTGAGCTGAATAGTTGAACATGCTTAAAATCTCGATTCCTCGCTTCCTGGGCTTCTTCTGTTAACTCTCCAAGTGGAAGAATATTCGATTCAATTATTATTTGACCATGACACAATACTTTGTGTGCTGTTGGTGTTAGTTCCCTCCATGGATACAGAGATACAAGTAATTTAGAAATTTCAGATGTGTATTCCCCAAATCGATTTTCATTAATTTTATGTTTACTATTCAGTGCCATTAAAATAGTTTTAACTCTTCGAAGCAACTCCTTGTCGATTCCAGTTATTTTTGAAGTAATTTCAAAATCACGAAAAAACCTTCTCGACGTATTACCGTCATTTGTACTACCGCAACTTGAAAGTGGTTTGTCGATGTTTAATCCCATCTGAACTTTAAATTCTTCTTGGATTCTGCTTTTTTCCGCAGCTCTCAGTTCTTTCAATTCTTCATTATTTTTTGTTGATTTAGTAGGATAGTTTGTTTTTTTTTTCCTGGATTGCCTTGTATGATGGTAATATATTGTGTCCTTTTTCATGCAGAGCTTTCCTTAATATTTGGTACTTATTTCGACTGAGACCCAGTTCCAACATAAGCGCTATTGCTTCCTCTTCAGTAAAATTTGATTATGATGTTGGAGTTGGTATACTTTCCACAATTCGCTTAAGTCGTTTTGGTGATGCATTAGGAAGAATAGTTGCAATATGTACGACATCCATATGTTGGTTTTCCTTTTTCAGCATTTCGTTAAATGTATCAGCAATTTCCTCATTTGAGATTGAAAAAAGTTTTTGTGTGACCCTCTTTTTTTTTACCTTGAACATAAGTCTTCGTATGACTTGCAAGGCGCTCCTGTTGATGTGTTGTAAGTTGAGATTTCCGTAGTAGTTTCCATCCAACTACAAAATTTTAATCGAAATTTCTTTTGATTTCCATCCACAGACTTACTTTTTACATCAAAAAGTTTTAAAAAGTTTTCAATTTTTGATATGCCTGTTTTGTCTACTTTTCTACTATATGTAGTTTTTATATAATTTGAAATGTCTTCAATTCTTTCTGGCCCTTTTGAAGATATACCCCATAAAACGGAACACAACTCTTCGTACTTTAATGTAATCTTCATTGTAGATTTATTAAATATGGTACTTAAAATCTGAGAAGTTTACTTATATACCAATTCTTGTCATTTCCGATACAGCTATTCCAAAGTAAAAAATTACGAATTGTCTACCTATTAACATTTAGGACTATATTACTATAACCTGTAATTCAGTCATTGATATTTCTTATTAGTGAATGAATCGAAATTATCATTACCTGTATATTTTTACCTATATGATCATAAACGAAACAGAACGAAATGATCTGTCGAAAAAATTTAGGTAAAAAATGGTTATAAATTTTTGAAAATTCAAGCATAATAG